AAAAAAAAAAAAAAAAAAAAAAAAAAAAAAAAAAAAAAAAAAAAAAAAAGAAGAAGAAGAAGAAGCTTGAACTGTAGCCTGAAGGGTATCATTTGCAAGGGGGTGGAAATTGAACTCCTCTGTAGCCTACTTTTGCATTGGTACAAGTAGAAACAAATGGCAAGGATTTCTTTGGAGGGCCACTGTATTTCAAATTGATGTTAAACAACTCTATGTTTTGGCATGGAAACCGCTTACTGCACTTGAGATGAACTGCTACTGAAGAGATTGTGGATCCTTTGACATTAATGAAATGAACATCGCTGATTTTCACTCGTGATGGCTGCATAGCGTAACCGATTAAACAAGGTTAGTAGATAAGAAGTTGCATTGGAAGAAGCAGGGGGAGATTGAGAAATGGAAGACGAAAACGAACCGGCCTTTGGCAATTAGTTTTTGAGCAGCTGTACTCTTGGTCTATGAGGATGGGGTTCTTGACGTCGATCATATTGATGTCTTGGAATAGGATGCCCGAGGCTGCACTCGGGGGTGAGTCTGGCCATGTTTTGATCCGAAGTCCATTATCTGTTTTTATTAATGTACAGTTCTTGATGACGACACCGAGCACGTCCTCCTCATTTTCGTATTTTCCAAGGCTTCCAACACTGTCATAGCAGACATCAAATTAGACAGAGTAGCAGGCAGAGAAGCCTCTGTTGATCGAACGATGCGGGAGTTACCTGATACCATGTCCAGGACCGCAGGTTATTTTGTTGATGGTGACATTCATTGATCCTCGACCCAGGGAGATGCAATCGTCACCAGTGGAAATGACTGATCTCGATATTTTCACTTTGTTGGAGCGGCTCAGATGTATGCCATCAGTGTTGGGACTGTCGTCTGGCGCCGTTATGTGTAGTTTTTTCAGCCGAACGTTCTCACTGTTCGTGATGAACATGTGAAACCCCTTGCTGTTGATGGAACTGATGCCTTTCATGAATACATTTGTGATGCCATTGAACTTCAAATTCTAGGAAGAAAGGAAAAGGGAAACCACAAGAGTATTTAAGAGACAGCCATTAAAGTGAGTTCATAGTAAGGCAGCCAGAGCCTAAGTACTTACAACAGGGAGCTTCTGGCAAGTGGGATTCATACCACAGTCGTTGTATTTCCAGACAGCATCACCTTGTCCATCCAAAGTACCTCTGCCAGTGATTATCAAGCCATTGATCTTCTCAAACAATATCCATTCATTAGAGACGTAATTGCTCAGGTCGATGTCTCCTTTTAAGGTCGCATCGATTTGAACGACGATAGGACTTGTCGAGGCGCATGGCCCTGCAAACACTATTTGACTGATCAAAAAAGTACCCCCAGGAATAACTACTCTTGCAGCTCCCTTGGAGTGGCATGCTGCAACCCAAGTCTTCATAAAACTCTGCAAAAACCAGCCAACAAAACATCAGGTACACCAAAACCTTATCAAACAACAACAAAACATTCTCAATAATCACCTGAGTATTATCTTTCTTGCCATCAGGTTTAGCACCAAAACTGAGAACATTAAACACGGTCTCCTTCCGATGTCTAATATCCTTCCCGAAATTGATCTTTTGAAAGAGGTCAGGCGGGTTCGTTCCAACGAAGAATTTGGCGTTAACCGCAACCAATGCTACCAACAATAGCCAGGCAAGAAGAGTGGCTTGTTTGAAAGCAGATTTCATTGAAACTTATGAAAAAAGGTATTGGGTATGTTTATTTTAGGATCGAACAGCCTCCAAGGGGAGGCCAGAGAAGTAAAAGGAAAAGCTTGGTTTCTTCCCTCTGTGCTTCGTTATTTTATAGCAGTTTTGAAAGGGTGTCCGTGGTTGTCTTGTTTGTTGACATGAAAAGGCCTAAAAATAGTAGAGTTCCTTTAATATAGGAGGCATTACCAACATTTTGTTCGTTCTTAGCCCAATTTGTCGCCGTTGAGAGAAGAACTCGGTGCCCATTTCCATGCCTCACCAGGTATCGAAAACTACGTGTATATATAGCTTGGTGACTCAAATCTGCCCGAAAAAGGTACTTTTAAACTGTATTTTAACCCTTTTTTAAGTTTGTTTGGAACTACGATTGTTTCGTTGTTTGAGTTCTGAATTTTGGTTCGATCTAAATGATATTGTCTGTATGATTTGGGTTAGTCTTGATACCAAGATGCCTTCATGCCCCTTTTTATTTTATGAACAACACTCCTTTGAGATAGAAAATCAAATAATAGGTAGAGATGGTATGGAGAAGTGATCTTAGTATCTATCGGTAACACTCTTAAACAGATCTTTTGTATAGTTCAATTGATTCACGTATTTTTTATCAAGAGATCAAGAGTTCAATTCGTTATTAGTCCGTATTAGAAATAGAGCGTCTTAAGTCTTGCAATACTTCACAAGCTAGCTGTTTCTAAGAGTGGAGAGTGTTGACCAACCTAGGTCTTTTCAGTATCCTTTGAGACCAACACGGTGTGAGATTCCACATCGGTTGGAGAGGGGAACGAAGAGTGTGTGAAAACCTCTCCCTAGTAGATGCATTTTAAAATCGTAAGACCGATGGTGATACGTAACAAGTCAAAACGGATAATATTTGTTAGGGGGGTTTGGGCTGTTACAAACACGAGCCATTTTAGCATGCTTTGTAAGAAAAATTGATTATTCTTACCTACTTATCACTTTTAAGAGTGGAAGATCGTAAACCAACACGAATCCTTTTAACATCGCGTGTCTTCACTTACATACTTTCTATGAAAATTGTCATATCTTTGCGATCACTCTTGTTTGAATGTGGGTTGGTTTAGTATCATTTCTTTACTCGGGTGCAAAAAAATATTATTATTGTTTTTTTGAGAAATTAGATAAAAAAAAATCGAAGAATTTAAGTGTGATTATTGCATAGGGTTGAAAGTATAATTGAAACTCCTATGATTCAAAATTTAATGCGAACAAGTTGTTTAAGTTTGAAGTCGCAACCACAATTATAATGACAAAAACATTTGGTTTTCATAAACTTGGAGATATTATTACTCTGATGTAACATCCAATAATAGCAATAGCCTTTTCATGTTTTTTATTTAAAATAACATTTTTGTCTCTTCTTCATTGATTTTATTTAATGTGAATAATGCATTTTTCCAGATAACTTTTGAAAATATAACACTTTTTAGTGAAAAATAATTTTTTTTCTAAATTAATACATATAATTTTAATAGAAAGAAATATATTTTGTTTTAAATATTTGAATATTTGAATATGCCATATAGCATAAATTAATAATATATATTATTTATTGAATTATAGCATGTGTGTTTTTTTTTTTGTCAAGCAGTGAGATAGCGATTGTACGATACTTGTTCTAACCTGGCGAATAAGTTGTGTGAAAATTGAATTTTACAGACAATCTTAATGTATGATCGAGTCTCGAGTCACGTTTGACAATTTTTTTTTTTATTAAATCGTTGAAAAAAATTTAAAGAAAAGTAATGTCGTAAACTTGTTAGAGGAACAAGGATTCCCCACAATAGTATGATATTATCAACTTTGAACATAAGCTGTCGTAGGTTTATTTTGGGCTTCCCCCAATGATTATCCAAACTTCGACTTGTACAAATGAAAATAGTATTTTTAGATTATAAATTCATAATTATCTCCGATTTCTTCGGGATATAAGTGGGCAATGACGTGACACTCTTGCCCTCGGATTTGATGTCATTCCTTGGTTAGCGTGGTCCTTCTTCTTGACCTGATCCAATTTTACATTGGAATTCTCGGGATTCTTGTGATCTCAATCCTCTACTGATACTGCAACCATGGCGAAGCGCACGTTTGATCTGCTAGGCCATGTTCGTCCTGCTCACGAGCTTGACCTCAATGCCTTGCTCCATTACTGTTCCGCTAATGTTCCTGCTTTTCCTCCCTCCCCATCTAATTTCCGCGTCTCTCAGGTACGTCTCCGTTTCCCTTCCCCCTTGCGTTCTTATTTTTCTAATTTGATCGGTGTAGTGTATTGGCGTTGATTGATTTTTGTGTTGTCTCTTCTCATCTTTGGAGATTAGTTCGGACATGGCCAATCAAATCCGACTTATCTTATCGAAGTTGCTTCCGGAGCTTCTTCGAAGCGGTATGTTTTGAGGAAGAAACCACCGGGGACGCTACTCCAGTCTGCTCATGCCGTCGAAAGGGAGTTTCAGGTGCTAATTAGTTTCTTATTTGGCTAGAAATATTTTGTTCTTGATTTCATCAAAGGATAGAAATGAACCGGAACGAGAATGATCGCAACTTCATTCAACTTTCATTAAGTGATCAAAAGCGACTGTGCTCTATTTATATAGAAGAGCTATAGTGAATACAGCTGACAATGAGTACAACTGTTTTGCCTCAATCCAACTAATCAGGGTCCGTTAGGGATCACATCCCTCTACAATGGTATGATATTGTCCACATTAAGCATAATCTCTTGCAGATTTGCTTTTGGTTTCTCCAAAAAGCCTCATACCAATGGAGATGTATTTGTTACTTATAAACTCATGATCATCATTTTATTAATCAATGTGGGACTCCCTCTCAACGATCCTCAACAATTTCCTGATAAAAAAAGTGAAAAGTAAAAAGAAGAGTGATACTTCATGTACTTTTCCAAATTGCAGTTGCAATGAGAACGTTAAGGTTATGATTTTCAGTTTCAAATTTTGATTTGATAGGTTCTTCGAGCATTAGGTGATTACACTCAAGTTCCAGTTCCTAAAGTTTTCTGCCTGTGTTCTGATTCAAGCGTAATTGGTACTCCTTTTTATGTTATGGAGTACTTGGACGGACGAATATTCCTAGACCCGAATTTGGTGGTACGTCTATTATGTTGTGAAGTTTTACCAGCTATTGAATTACTTCTAATGGATTGAATGTTATTGCATTAGGGAGTTGCGCCTGAAACTAGAAGAGCAATATATTTAGAAGCTGCGAAATGTTTAGCTTCTCTTCATTCAGTTGATGTTAATGCCATCAGTCTAGAAAAATATGGGCAACCGAAAAATTACTGTAAGCGACAGGTGTGCCCAAAATCTTTATGCTGTTCTTGATTATGAGTCCTTGAAATTCTCTTCCATACGTTATATTGCAAGGATATTTCACCAGAAGGGTAAAGAAATGGTCATAATAACGTTGTTGGCCAACCCAAGTAATATAAGTAGAAACATTGCTTATAAACTTCTGTTTATTTTTCCTAGATTGAGAGATGGGCAAAACAGTATATTGCATCAACCAGTGATGGTAAAGTAGATGGAAATCCAAAAATGTTTGCGTTAATTGATTGGTTACGGCAACATATTCCTTCAGAAGATTCTTCAGGTGTCACAGCTGGCCTAGTCCATGGAGATTTTCGAATTGATAATCTTATATTTCATCCCACTGAGGTTTGCTATTTCTTCTAAATAAATATTTCCTCTACCCTCCTTTTGTATTGATTATAAAGTCAGGTGCCCTGTTATCATTTATTTATTTTTTGGAAGTTTAAAGTTGAAGATTAGGTAGATACATACATACATATAAAGCTTGCACGTTGTCTCATCCTCTGACGATGCAGGACCGAGTAATTGGCATTCTTGATTGGGAGCTATCCACGGTGGGAAATCAAATGTGTGATGTTGCTTATTTCTGTCTGGTATGTAGGGAATTTCCCTTTGTAACTTGTAACATTAGCGTACTGTTAATTGTTGGATAATTTGTATTCATGTGTTCTCACGTTTTGAGGCTGTATTACTTCCATTTCGTTTCAGCCTTACATCCTGGACTCGCACTCTGACCGTCCAAATACAGCCCAGGGTTTTAACAATATTGGAACTTCAGAAGGGATTCCTTCATTAGCACAATGTTTGGCTTATTACTGTTCTATCACTGTAAGTGGCTATTGTCAATATTATTCAATCAAGTATTTGAGTTTTGCGGCAATCTTACAAATGTTTTTCCTTCCATGAGGGTATAACCAAAATTTGGTTCATACTTTTCCACCATCGGAATGATTGTTGTTATATTTCATCTTCCTCTGTTTCAAGGATTTAGTGCTTTACATTGGAAAAATAATGCAGCGGCTTCACATATCCTAACGAACTTTGACATCTAAAAACCTTCATTACATGCGGTTATGAGAACCCCTGCACCTGTAAGATTGAATATCCGACAGTGGAATCAACGAGCTAATCTATCCTGAGTAAGGGATATGAGGGATAAAAGTATTTAGGGCAAGCTCGGGGATTAGGTAGTTACAAAAGAAAAGCCCTTCCTTATCGGTCTAAACCAAGACATTCTATTTCTAATACTCAAATCGAAAGATTAGTCTGATTTTCTACTTTCCTTACCACCGTGGATTCCTCTATCCTCACTGTAGGAACATACTGAAGCCATTCGCTGTTCATTGCATGATCTGTGTCTGGTTTCTTATTGTATGATACAGATAAAAATTGACTTAAATTGAATTTAAGATATTTTTTAGGTTGATATATAGTTGGTCCATTGGAAATAAATGTTCACAGGCAATTGCATGTTCTAGCTGAGGTAAGTGAAGGTTCACTGTTTAAAGTTTATGCAACTGGTTCTTGATGCACACTTGGGAATTTCCTTGTTGCAGGGAAGACCATGGCCATTTTCTACTTGGAAGTTTTATGTTGCCTTTTCCATTTTCCGAGGAGCTGCGATCTATGCTGGAATTTATAGTCGATGGATTATGGTATGGTCTTAATCATTGAATAGGCAGCATGGACAAAAAACGATGAAATTTGAAGTATTCTTTTGAAAATGCAGGGAAATGCATCAGGAGGCGAGAGTGCTCGGATTGCTGGAGATAAAGCTAATGCTTTCATTGATTCTGCTTGGTCATTTATTGAACAAAAATCATTACTTCCCGAGAATCCCCCATTTGGTAGTTCTATTGTCTTATAAAGCTTTTTGCTTCTAGTAGAACATAACCCTTTAGTAAGGTGCTATTTCCCCTTTACAACTTCAGATTCAATTGTACAAGTTGATTCACAATATACTGGGAAGGAGAATGAGGAATGGAGCGTCGAGAAACAAACGAACGATGGAGGAAAGTTTGTCCCCAATAAAAAAGTCATGCAGTTGAGAAACAAGTTGATTAAGTTCATGGAAGATCATATATACCCTATGGAAAATGAATTTTATAAACTTGCTCAGTCGCCCTTACGTTGGACCATACACCCAGAGGAAGAGAAACTAAAGGAGATGGCTAAGAAAGAAGGCTTATGGAACTTGTGGATACCTGTTTGTATTTTGGCTCTTCTCTCATTTAATCATTTGTACTCATACTGTTATTCTTTTTAATACTAGTTTAAGAAACAAGATTCTTCGTGCAGTTTGATAGTGCTGATAGAGCTAGGAAACTGCTTTTCAATGGAACTAGCCCAATCCTTTCCACTGGTGTAGACAAACTTCTTCTTGGTGCTGGCCTCTCCAATCTTGAATATGGGTACCTCTGTGAGATAATGGGTCGATCAATTTGGGCACCTCAGGTGTTCAATTGTGGCGCTCCTGACACTGGAAATATGGAGGTAAGATCCGATTTTATAGCCCGAATTCTGTCTGCAAGTCTGCCAGCTGAATAGATTAGACCAATGAATGAACTAGATCTGTATATACTTTTCTTTGAACTATGTACTCATTTACCGTTTACATTTAGAATTTAATAAATCTGTTGATATCTTCGACATGAATGGTTTGGTCAATTACGACACGGTTTAAGCAACCATTATTAGAACTGTTATTGATCATTTTGTCTTTCTCATTAGGTATTGTTACGGTATGGCAATAAACAACAACTACATGAATGGCTTATTCCTTTGCTTGAAGGGAAGATACGTTCTGGATTTGCAATGACTGAACCGCAAGTTGCATCCTCTGATGCAACAAACATTGAATGTTCAATTAAAAGGTAACGATGTTAGACATTTATTTATAGAAAACATTTTTTCTTTCTCCTTTACGTGTTTGATTCTTATGTTTTTATTAGTATTCATGTTAAATGGATTTTCTTGACTAATTTTTATACAGCATTTAGTTTGTTATTGGTATAATTACACTTAAACTGTTAACGTACGTGCAGGGAAGGAGATACCTACGTCATCAATGGAAGAAAATGGTGGACGAGTGGAGCGATGGATCCGAGGTGCAGGATCCTTATAGTTATGGTTAGTTCTATCAATATTTAGAACGAAAATTTAATCATCTATTGTTTTTCAAATTAATTTATATTCTCCATTGTTTGCAGGGAAAAACAGATGTTACTGCTGCTATGCATAAGCAACAATCCATGATCTTAGTTGATATCCACACTCCTGGCGTAGTTATTAAAAGACCACTCACAGTCTTTGGCTTTGATGACGCACCTCATGGGCATGCTGAGATATTATTTGATAATGTGCGTGTTCCTGCAACGAATATTCTACTTGGAGAGGGTCGTGGATTCGAAATTGCGCAGGTAATTGCCATATCCTATGCATTTTCGTGCTTGCAAAATATGGTTGTTTCCTTTTGTCATTGCTATGTTTACACAATTGACCGATCAAGTGCTCTGATGTCCATGGAGATGCTTACTGCAGCGTGTATGACTTTCGTTTGGTTCGGTATTTCGTTCCAGGGTAGGCTGGGCCCAGGGAGGCTGCACCATTGCATGAGGTTGGTAGGAGCAGCAGAGCGAGGCATGCAGATGGCGGTTCAGAGGGCTCTTAGTAGAAAAGTGTTTGGAAAGTTGATTGCCGAGCAGGGTTCGTTCCTTGCAGACATTGCCAAGGTATTTGGATGGTGAATCATAACGTAAATCATAAAATCACGTTCCATGTAAACATATTCCGTGGCTACTTTTGTGTCAGTGTCGCGTGGAGCTTGAGAAAACGAGACTGCTGGTTCTCGAAGCAGCAGATCAGTTGGATCGGCTCGGAAACAAGAAAGCACGTGGGACAATTGCGATGGCCAAGGTAAATTTTCTGACAATTGCAAGGGCTAAGTTTGTAGGCTCTCGTTCCATTAATTAGTGTTAAAGGTTTTTTTGCGATACGAGAGCACATGACACGTATAGAATCAGTCATACGATCTATATATATTTAACTACAACAAAATTCAACAGAATACAGTAATTTAAGACTATTTTTGTGAGTATGAGGTAAGATTTATAGATTTCGCCCCCGTTTTCATTTTTCGTCACGAATGTTTCAATGAATATCTTGGTGAAACTTGGTACAGGTTGCAGCTCCAAATATGGCATTGCAGATTCTGGACATGGCAATGCAAGTCCATGGTGCAGGTGGCTTGTCCTCTGACACTGTTCTTGCTCATCTCTGGGCTACTACAAGAACCTTGAGAATAGCAGATGGCCCTGATGAAGTTCATTTAGGAACCATCGCCAAGTTGGAGCTTCGGAGAGCTAAGCTTTGAAAATTAGAAGGGGATATTGGGAACTGATAAAACCTGTAAAAAGGACATGGTTGAAACTCTCGTTAAAAGAGAAACGGACTGTTATTTGGCCGACTCTATTCTTCTCATTCAAGGATCTGTATGCGAATAATAAACTTTTCGATACTCTTATATAGAAGAATCGAAATAAAGAAAAACCCAACTTTGGTTGTCTATGTTTTCAAGACACAAAAGCATCCATTTGATATGCAAAAATCGGAAGTACTTATTCTGACTTCTTGATCAAGAACATGTTTTGATCGGGTGATGCATGAACACGATAATATTGACAAGGCAATCATGTGCTAACGAATAATCAAGTAGGTTAAGAATGCTATTAACATCCTCTATGTTAAACGACAGAATAGAAGTCATTCCTTAATAGACTATATGATGCTCGAGTAATTATGGGATAAACCGAAGCAAAATTAGAGATTTTGTTGTTCACAATAAGTGAAACGTCGATTGAAAGACAGAAGATATTCATTCTCAGTCAACATATCAAACATATTTTAGAACATAGCTGCACATTTAAATATCTTATTTATATTAATTTGCTATTATTTATATTAATTTGCTACCATTTCAAACTCGTACTAAACAAACAAGCCTAACTTCAACCAAATAGCTAATAAGTACTTAATCAACAGAGATTTTGACACATAATTGGCCAAAATTATGATTAGTCTTAATTTTAATGAATAAATGTAATTAAATTAAGCGTAAGTTTAAATTTAGACGGAAAAGTCAGCGGTTGATTTAGAGGAAAAAGTCAAAAGACAAAAAAAATGTTCTCGAACATTTTAACGGTATTAACTGTCATTTCGGATAAAAAAAAATTATATATATAAAAGAAAAATACAAAAATGAGAATCTCTAGTAAAAAAACATGTCAAATGATGACGATGGAGGGAAGAACAAGAAGGCCGCCCTTATCGGCGTGTCTTCATTGTTTCTCGTTGCCATGGTAGTTGCGGTGGCCGTCGGTGTCAACCGGAATGACCCTGATGAAATTAGTAGCACCAGTGGTGACGGAGGCACGACGGAGATCTCCACCTCCGTCAAAGCGATTAAAGCCCTTTGTCAACCCACTGACTACCAAGAAACTTGCATAGAATCGCTCTCGGGAGTCAACACGAGCGACCCACGTGAGCTAATCAAGGTTGGATTCCAATCTACCATCAATGAACTCAAATCTGCCATTGTAAAATCCGCCACCCTAAAAGAATTCGCCTCCGATCCCAAGGCCAAACCAGCACTCGACGTTTGTAACGAGGTTGTGGAGTACGCAATTGACGATCTCATAATGTCGTTTGATAGAATCACTGACAATTTCAATATCAACAAAATTACTGATTACGTCGAGGATCTTAAGGTTTGGCTTAGTGCCACGTTGACATTGCAAGACACTTGCGTGGATGCATTCGATAATGTTACCGGCGATACAGGTGACAAAATGAGGCAATTATTGAAGACGTCGAAGGAAATGACCGCCAATGGACTTGGAATGGTGAGTGAGGTTACTTCCATTATGTCCTCTTTTGGGATGCGGTTGGCTGGACGACGATTGTTGGAGGAGGAATCTAATAAAGAGGAGGAAGAACCATCGTGGATCAACGACCGGCGCGGGCTACTCCAAGCCACTCCGAAAACCATCCAGCCCAATGTTGTGGTAGCTAAAGACGGAAGTGGGAAGTACAAGACGGTGAATGAAGCATTATTTGATATCCCGAAAAAAAGCAATAAAACATTTGTGATTTATGTGAAGGAAGGAGTTTATGAAGAGCAGGTGATGATGAACAAAAGTATGACGTGGGTGATGATGATTGGAGACGGCCCGAATAAGACCAAGATTACCTCCAACAAGAACTTCGCCGATGGAACACCCACATTCAAAACCGCTACCGTTGGTAAGTTTATACTAATATTAAAAACTTGTTTGAAATTGAGTTATGAACTCCCAAATCTTGTATTCATGTTAATGACAAAAACACAGCGGTGGTTGGAACCAACTTCATTGCCAAGGACATGTGGTTCGAGAACTCGGCTGGACCAGAAAAACATCAAGCAGTGGCACTCCGAGTTCAATCCGACATGTCAATCTTTTACAATTGTCAAATGGACGGTTACCAAGATACACTCTACACTCACACCCATCGTCAATTCTATCGAGACTGCACCATCACTGGAACCATCGACTTCATCTTCGGTAATGCGGCCGTCGTCTTCCAAAACTGTAAAATTTTCGTGAGAAAACCATTGCCGAATCAACAATGCATCGTCACCGCTCAAGGCCGAAGCCAACGGAAGGAGCCCACCGCCATAATCTTACAGAACTGTCTCATCTCCTCCGCCCCCGACTACTTCCCTGTCCGCCACACCTACAAGGCTTACCTTGGCCGCCCATGGAAGCAATACTCAAGAACCATCATTTTGCAATGCAAAATCGACGACTTGATCCAGCCTGAAGGGTGGCTTCCATGGACGGGCGATTTTGCTCTCAATACATTGTTTTACTCCGAGTACAATTGCAGGGGAGCTGGCTCAAAGAAGGACAATCGGGTCAAGTGGAGGGGAATTAAGGAGATTACTCCCGAGCACGCCATCGATTTCACCGCTGGGTTATTTATTCGAGGTAATCCATGGATTAAGCCCACTGGAGTTCCGTACAGTTCCGGCATGATGACATTGTCAGAACAAAAATTGACCATGTAAATAATTATGGTTGTAGGATTTTTAATTTAAAAAAACTCTTAATTTATGAGATTTTTTCCTTCAATTTTGTTCTAACTTTTTGTTAAGTATATGAGAAACCATCTCACCTCGTGTTAGAGGTTGTTTAATAACATTTATTATTTTAATTTTTGTAATTTGCTTGGTTTTTTTTTCCCACAATTACCCTTGGGGAAGCCCAAATCGGCCCAATAGTTGAGCCCAGAAAGCCCAAAACTTTGGCCCGTCTGCCTAAAATGGAAGCCCAAATCGGCTCAATAGTTGAGCCCATAAAGCCCATAAAGCCCAAAACCTTGGCCCGTCCAATTCTTTCCTTCATCGTTTCCACCGGCTCCATTGCGAGAGAGCGGGAAAACGGCCGGAACAGAACAATTTTGAATCTTCTTCCGTCCCAAATCGGCGGAGCAACGAGAAGCCAAGAACTGGAGAAGAACAACTGGTTGGATTTCTCCGATATTCTCTTCATTTTAACAATCCATTTCTCAGGTAAGTTTCATTAGATGTACAGACGAAGTATTCGTCGGACGTCCGTCAGTTTTTTTTTTCGTCAAATTGTTAGCCCTAGGGCTCCATTTGAAGTTAAAGCACCAACGTATCGAAGGCGGATTTCAAATTTTAATTTCAAGATGACTAGTAAAACCGGCGGTACTGGAGAGGCTGCTTTCCACATGCTGCAGCCGGAGCGTGACCTTCGGTTGAATTGGGAAGTCGACCTCGCTGAGAAGCTTGAAAGTTATTTGTTGCAGATTTGCACCGGTGAGTTTCAGTCCGGCGAAGATGAGAACCACAATTCTGTCAATTTTGCTGAAGGTGAGGGTTCTTTTTTTTTTTTCCCTATCAATTTTCAATTTCTGGATGTTTTGGATTGTGGACTACTTTATGTTTCTGACTGCGTTGTGTGCTTGGGATTTTTTCGAGGGTGTAGCTGCTCTGCTTCTTCAAGGTTCGATTCAGGTGTACAGTCGGAAGGTTGAATACCTCTACTCATTGGTTCTGCGAGCTTTGGAGTTCCTCTCCGAAAAGAGGTTTGATTATTTTATCCAATTTTTTTGTCTTTATAATTAGTTCTGGAAATTACATGATAACGACCCATTAGAAATCTGGAACCTACATGAATAATTTATCGATGTCTGAGCAAAAATTAAGATTATTACGTTGCGAGTCTGCCTATCATTCAAGGCTCTTCTAAGGTGGAAATTATTAAATTCCCTGGCCCAATTGAATAAAGAACATATATGCAAGAACCATTCTTCAGAGAAAAAAAGGGTCATTTTATGTCAACCATCTTGTTCAGCCTCTGAAACCCAAGCTTGAAAGTTGAATGACTAACATCTCCCATTGCCGGACGTGTGAAACAAAGGGTTATTGAATGGACAGCAGAATTAGGGAAATTTTTTAGTTTTGACCGACCATTTTTCATTATCAGCTTGGTTGAAGCCCATTCAACTGAGGCAAATTATTGCCTGGGATCGTATTGTGTGTTTTTTTTTTTTTTTTTCCCTTTTAATTGTTTTCAAAACATTTTTATTCAAACAGGCAGCAGGATCATTTGGAAGGGACCTCAATCGAGGCTGAACAAGATGGTTCTAATGAAATTGCTGAAGATGAAAACGACCTATTTTGGGTTTCAGAGGATGTGCCAGGTCGCTAATCAGTTGTATGTCATAGTGCATCTAGTGAAGTACTATTGTTTCATTTGTGATTCAAATCTACAAATTGCAGTTGACACGAAGAATACTTTGGAGAGTACCAAAGAAGATGCTTGGTTAAATCAAACTGTAAAGCCTCCAGAAAATTTAGTCGTTCTTGAAGGTGATTGCTTGGATGCATCTGGTGACAATGGTGAACTAGATTCATACTTGGTAATTGGTTGCTATAATTAATTAACGTTTTTACTTTTCATATCATTTGACAATTAATCGTAACTTCTTATAATCATGCAGTTGGCCTCCACTAGTGATATTTTCCAAGACTTCGTTCTCTTAGATTCATGTGATGCTGAGGCAGTTCAAGATTTTTTGAATGGTGGTAATAAGTTTGGCCAAAGCCATAATGGTGGATTCAGAGGCAGCTCAACCCACAGGGGTTTTCAGTCTCCCTCTAGACGTTCTGGTGGAAGTATGCAGAAATCATCAGTAGGAAAGACTCAGGGTGCTAATGTTGCTCGGACACCGTTTTCCAATCATTGCTTCGTGTCTGATCCTCCATCTTGTGATAATTTTGCCAATGAAAATCATGAATTTGACATGGATGCTGGGAATCCAGAACCAGATGACTCAAATGGTTCTGAAGACGATTATGATCCTTGGAAGCCTTTGAATCCTCATGAGCCAGGAAATTTAAAAATAAAACCATTTAGAAAAGGTTGCTGACCTACTTCTACTTGCATCATTTCCTATTCATCTTTGCTTAAAAGCTAATGTTTCTTCTCTTTTCTTACCTCTAAGCAGTAAAAGCTTTTAAAAAGAATTATGTCAATTCTGGTAAGCATGAGTCTGTAGCTGCTTTGTTTCCACTAGCTAAATTACAAGGCCCAGTTAGCCCAGAGTTCGCGAAGCTTTGGGAAGAGCAGCACCAAGCCTTTGAAACGCATAGCGACTCCAATTCTGCTTTATTATATGAAAAGGTACAGCTTTGTGGTATGTTGTTATTAATAAAGTCTTTCCTATAGTTTATGACACTAGTTATTGTGACTACAGCTGCGAAATTCACTTATCAATGAAGATAGAAGTTGTGATTCCCCTTATGATGTGGAAGATGACAATATTGATTATGGTTTCGAAGATGTAATGCCTGATATCAATCCGCCAGATATGGATGATCCCTGTAATCATTATATGGACGAGTCTACGTGGTTAGGGAGTGAAAAGGTTGAGTAAACTCTAGTATGTTGTAGAGTACAAGACGTGCTTATTGTACGCTGAATTTCTTTTCTGAATTACTATTGATTGTTAACTTATGGATTTTATGCAGCATGATGCGGCTGCCCATTTTGATAAAGGTGAAACATATGAACCTGAATTTCCCTATTCGCAGTCAAGTCAAGAACATTTTTGTCCTTCTCATCTTGTAAGTGGTGTCGGTGGATTTGTCCCTGCGCTTCACCTATTTGCTATCTGTCAGGCTCTATAATAATAATTTTTTATTTGTATTAGTTTGCCTTCTATTCAGTAAATTCCCCATGTTTCCAAGCTTCGTTTCACTTGCATATACTCATTTACATTTTACTGATCTGGAATATCATGGTTGGTTATGGAGCGCATGTGGACCACATTCTTGTTTGTTGATCAAAATCTAAATAACTTGTTCAAGTTCTTAACACTATGCCGTAGTGTTTTTAAATAATGAATGGCACGTGGGTAGGTTTGGTTTGTTTTTTTTTGTCAGTCCTATAATTTGTTCTAATAGATTTATAAAGTTGTTAGACAGCATTGTTCACTTAAATTTCCTTCAAACTTAGTACATTATGCACATTATGCACATTATTTTAGTAGATAGACTTGCAGGAGCATTTGGAATTTATAACAATGAAGGATGGAAAACTTGGAGTAGATATCCACATATGAAAATCATGCCTAGATTATTATCATCTTTTATACATGCTTCTGGTATATAGTCGCCTAAAATTTCTCTCTTTTATAGGACACACTCCTTGCAAGCATTGCTGAGAATCCTACTGAAATGGCCACTCGAGTCTCTACGTGGAAACAGAATATTGAACACAATTTGGAAGAGCAAGTAATAATATTTAATGTTCTACTTCAGTTCCATATAGCCGATAGTTATTTCTTCTTAATTGTGGGTTGAGAGAAGTACTTTTTTGTGATAGGACAAACGCCTTCCATTTGATATTCATGAATATTGCAAAGCGATTCGTGAAAAATTATCTGGTGAAGCTGACAAAGGCGGTGTAATTTCTTTCTCTGATGTTGTTGAAGGGCAGGAGAAGTACGTTGTATCACGAAGTTTTACTGCTGTTCTTCAATTGGTAACGTACTTAACAAACACTATAGAAGTACCTAGATTCGTGAAAATTAGAACTTGAAAATTGGAATCGACAAGTCATTTTCAGGTGAACAATGAAGATGTGGAGCTTGAAGAGGACGAGGTTGATGGGGAGTCGATTGTCTATACTTCTGCGAACCCGTTCCATGTTCGGCTTATTCGCCAAGACAAATGGGCGGATGAAACTCGGCATCAAACCTCAAGAAAGAGGTCCACATCTCCAGATAAGGTTGAAAATGGTAGGGATGACATTGTTAGGAATATAAACCACAAATCATCACACATGGGTAAAACTCTTGAGAAATCTAGGGTGATGAGAGAATTGTCACGACAGAATTGCAAACTTCCTGTGAAACTGGGGAAGGTTGGTGGCATAAAATGCACTCCTGAAGGCAAGAGGCCAGTTGACTGACATTCTACTTGGATGACAATATTTAATGTACAATTAGCTGACTGTTTGTATATTGTATAGCAATTCAACACAGCTTGTTGTAGCATTGTTGAGCACCAAGTTTTTTGTTGGGGTAATGAATATGTTAGTGTCAGCTAAGAATTTTCCTTTGTACAACGTTTTGTTTGTTCCCTCTGTTAGGTTTGTTTATTTGATGTAATTATGATCTGGAGGGAGGTGTATGTATGAAAAGGAAAAGTGTATATTAACACGTAACCGTTTGATTCTTGCCCTGTTTTCAGGTTTTTCAGGTTTCTATCGCTCAAGCTTGAAATCAGTGAGGTTGACGGCCATATGTAACAGGCTAAAGCGGACAATATCGGTAGCAGTGGGCTTGGTCTGTTACAAATGATGTTAGAGTCAGACATGGGGTGGTGTGCCAGCGAGGACGTTGAACTCCGAAGGGGGGTGGACACCGAGCGGTGTGTCAGTGAGGATGCTAGGCCTCTAAAGGAGGGTGAGTTGTGAGATTCCGCATCGAATGTCAGCGGGGACGCTGGGTCTTTAGATTGGAGAACGAAATACC